GTAATAATTTTTTTATTTAAGTATTTAAGAACACACATTTATTGAATTTTTTAAATTATTGAGTTTTATTAAAATTTACAATTTATTATTATATATTATATACATTTTATAAGGTAGTGTTTATTTGTTGAAGTCACTCTATAAAAAAAGATGGCAAGTGACCTGACTTAAAAAAAAAAATGTCATTTGGCGACGTGGAGAGGGTGATGACCTTGAACGCGACAGATCTGTTCCCCGGGCACATTACGTAACGCGAGATGTAGAGAGAGAAAGAGAGAGAATGAAAGAGAGTAGAGTGCGTATGTGGTGCGCGCATGGGAGGGAGAGAAACGAAGCCGACACTGAAGCATAAAAAAGTTCAAAGAAGAGTATTTACATTTCTGTACATACTAAAAAACGCAGGGACGAGGAAACGAACCGTGGATTATACAGAGGGTAACCGAACGACACCTTTTGTAAATTAGCTTTGTACATTGTACCTCCCGTTCTGTTTTTGGTTCTCCATTATCATTGTTGCTGGATCGACCAGGGAGAAGCTTTGTGAACGTCGCAAATTATTTAAAACCTCGATAAAATTTTATCATTTGCATCACCATACTTTTTAACAAAAAAAAAAAAACAAAAATACAGCACGATTTTAATCAACCGTTCGACACTAAATAAAAAAGTCACTCGAAATCGATCGATGTTTCAACATTGCAAATTAGAATCGTAATTTTTTTTATAACAAATATTTACATGATCGTTTTTTTGGAAATTTATTTCGCCAAGTCGAGGATGTTTCTATCTTTGAGGCTCTGTTGTGTATATAAATAAAATATATACGTGTACGTATATACATACATACATACATATATAAACATATATATTTTTCTGGGATAAAAAAAATAAGAGAAGGTAACTTACAAAGACGTTATATCCGACCTCGTGGACGCAATAAATAAAAAAAAAAGAAATTCATATAATCGATTACGCAAAGGGCATCAGGGTGTAGTGTGTAATAGAGAGAGCGAGAGAGAGAGAGAGAGCGCGAGAGAGACATAAAGATATAAAAAGAGATGACTATTTTTTTTAAATACGTAACATGATGGTGGAGCAAGAAACAGAAGCTTCTTTCTTTCGGAACTTCCGATTAGAAACAAATCGATTTTATTAATCATATTTTTTCTTTCGTTATTCATTGATTCGGTTACTCTGCATGCGTGTTAAACCATCAGAGCCGATAACTGGGTCACGAGTGACCCGTAACTAAATTTCAGCTGACTTTCCGTTCACAGCTGTTTGCGTTGCTTGATATTTGTATTACGAACGACGGTCACAGGTGACCGGCGTGGCGTGAATGGAAAATTATGCGCCGGTCACCGGTGACCGACACGGAATTAATGGAAAGTTCGATGTCAGTGACTGTGGTAGTGTGAACGGAAAATTAGTTGCCGGACACCGGTGACCGACACGAACGGGATGTCCTGCGTCGGTCACCGATAACCGGCGCGGAAATAGAGGTATAGTTTGGTGTCGGTTAACGATGATAACGGAAAATTAAGTGCCGGTCACCGTGTTCATCGACGGGTCCCCGTTGATCCAACCATCGGCAGTCGATGGTTAATAATAAAACGGAAACGAAATTTTCATGAATTGTATACGTGACGCATAATTATTTATATTAACGACACATTCACAATCACGACGATGTACAGTATACTGTAACGTATAGAATTCACGAAAATATTATTGTGGTGGTGCAATAAAGAATTTTTGGTTAATTCCGTGAACGTAACACAGGTGAACCAAAAGAGGTTACGATGACACTGTATAAGTGGTTGAATATTATTTCGAAAAAGGTTGAAAGTCTTTAGTAAAGGGGTCGTTCTCAACCCTTTTCCCTGGTCCCCGTGGTTTCATTGAAAAAAATATTGAGGATAATCACTCGCTGCATGTACATAGACCGGAAAACCGCTGGTAGCCATATTGTTATTCACGATTAATAGGGAAAAGAAGAAGGAAAGAAAAGAAAAAAAAACTTTCTCCGAGATCGACTGACGATGTCCTTTCTCTTCTTTCCTTTCTCTCGCTGGAACAGAGAAAGCATCTCACGCTGGGAGTAATAATACATACGTGCATATATTTTCTGAAATGATTCCCTCGTGAATCGTGAATTTACGTCTCCTGGGAATCGCTTTGAATCCCCCGTTCTGTTTTATATCGGGTGGGTAGTCGACGCATTTGTTTCTTTCCTCTGAACGCGAACAAGTCAAGATTTAACCCTGTAATTGTCACCTGAATATCACGATTTCATTAATTTATCAGAGACGATAACAATTATTAATTATTAACTTAAGTAAGCGCGTTCCTTTTATGTTTAGAGCACGGAATAGTGTCGTTATTATCGATGTTACTGTAGGACCGATATTTTTAACATGTTGTGCAGTATGTACAGATATTTCTTCGTTAATTTATCCGTTTTCATTTTCTTTTTTTGTTTGGAGATGAAAGAGGTGTGATGATCGATGCGAGAAAAAAAAAAGAATGAAATAAATTGGAATGATATTTTGCGACGCAAAGTTGTGTGGAGAGGTGAAAGAAAGGAAGAAAGTAGGAGCCCTCTGTCTGTTGTATATTACTTTTATTTCTACCTTTTTTACAAGTGAAACAAAAAGCGAGATCGGTATTGACCGTGCTATGTATGGATGATACGTTCCAATACTAGAAATAAATCTTTCAACAAATACACGAACGATGGTACATTGGTTTCACTTTGAACCCTCCTCTTCTCTGCATACAACATAATCCTACGGATATTTTCTCATAAAAGAGTCTTAAAAATGAACAAAGATAAGTAAACGTAGCCTATATTGAAACAGTCGAGGTTTGATTTACTTTCGTTGAATTTCTTATACTAAATGCAGTGTTAAAATCGGATAGAATATATTTCTAAAATATTCAAAAGCCCAAAAAATTCCGGTAATCAGTAATCCAAAATATAATAATAAGTATCTTATTGAACTTTTTTTGCAACGTTTACACGTTAACACAAAATTAAACAATCTGCTTAAACTTATGTCATAGCTCGATTGTGATATATCCATATAAACAATAAAATACATGTCGAGTTGCTTAAAATGTAACGTTGGAAAATTCCTGCGTTTTCCACTTCCAGTTTATTGACTTGGGTCCTGTACTATGGGTCTTCCCAGGTATTTGGACACTTCAGGAAAGGTTTACCTGGCAAAAACAATTCAACTGGACGAAGATACAATAGGGCTGGAATGGAGCTACCCTCGCCCACCAATCCACCAATCACGATCCAGCTGAGATAGGAGAATCAACCGATTGTATCCAGTTACAGACGGCCTAAGAGTCATTCGCCTCAAGGAAGTTGGAATGATAAGACGTGAAGTGAATTGACTCCTGTCGAAGTTTACGCGATCTTTATTTTTCACATGTAATCATTTATATTTATACCAATTACTAGTGCCTTCGTTAGCTCTCTATAGTTACTTTCGTTTATTATTTATTCATTTTAGAGTAAATTATTGTAAATTAATTCCATATTGCGGGATAAGTAGCATCACTAGTTGTTACTTTATTATTACTAGTTGTCACTTCAGTATCACTAGTTACTTCGTTATCACCTCAGAATTTATGCACGTATTGTTATAAATATATTGTAAAATCGTACATACAAGTAGTATTTAAGGCAATTGTCTTGAAATTTCTTCAATTACTATTGTAAATTCTGTATTTTCTAAAGATTTTTTCAATAAACAACAGTTAAGTGATACATATGCGTTGTTTATTAAGCCAATCACTACGACTATCCCATATTTTTTATAAATAAATAAATAGTAACCTGTAAACTTTTTAAAATTATGGTAGCCCTCTGGTGGCGAAAATTAGAACTAAATCCAGGACTTATTCGATAGTTCGCACAGTCGCCACCAGATGGCGCTGCTTACAAAGTTTTAGAATTAGTTCTAACTTTCGCCACCCACTTTTTGGGGGGCGCCACTAGTATGTCCCATAAATTCCAATTTTTCCCGCGCAAAATTACATGTGGATTACAGGACAATGAACGGTACTAAAATGGCTTGCGTCAGTAACCATTTGAAACGTGATCCTTTATCGCTGCTGCTCGTACAACTCGCGAGCTCGGTCGAATGTTGCTCGTGCAACTGTCGAATTGGGACTGACGCTTGTGCGTGTTCCCGTGAAGAAATTAGATAATAACCCCAGCACCCATGACAGTTTCTGCAAATACTACTACAGCCCAAGTTTAAAAGACGTAGGCAGCAGTTAGTTTCTGTAGAAACCTGTTGAACCAGACAACTATAATTAGTATAGGATTGTACAATATTTATGCAGCTATATTTAAGACAATTCCATCAAACGAAACTTAAGTATGTTAATACTGACTTATCGCACCTCTGCAAGAAAACTGTCGCAAGTCAAAGGCGTAGTGGTAGACGCTTTATGGCTTTAAATGTTGATCAGTGTCTTCCTTCAATGAAATAAATGGTTGGAAAATATTTTTAATTATACATTACACTTCAACTTGTTCGAGACGACTGACCCTTAGACCCTCTTTGACTAGTTAACTGGTAAAATTATTTATACCTGTATTAACGCTGACCCTTATGAATCAAGTAATTAATTCGAAAATCAGATAACCAATGAAAAATCGAACGGTGGCGCCATCTGCGGAGAAATGCCCAAGCTTGTAGCCACTTATGTATTACGGTGATGCCGTGAGATATCGTTAGTAGATCATTGTTCGCGTAGCGAAGAGTTTGTAGCGCCATCCACGGAGAAACGTTTAAGCCACGAGCCAAATAGTGTCCTCTATTCGCTTCCAGGTGGAAGAACCGTACCATTTCATTCCTAATAAAACAAATAGCGGTAAATTCAATGTAACAATAGGTAAGACACAATACTGTTCGTACTTGCAGAATCAATGTTCTTTATTTTACGAGAAATATATTTAACTTGTATAAACGGCCGTTTATTTTAGTTAGTTACATTCTGATTATCTTGGCTGGTGTCCGCCTGTCCATGTGCTTTCTTTATAGACACTTCCATTTCCTGTGTCTCTTTCTTTAGCTTTAAGCAAAATAAGACTGCATGTTCTACATTGTGCTTCTGCAATGACTCGTGCTTCGTGTAATACTCTATCAATTCTAAGCTATCTTTATCCTGTGCCTCTGTAGCGGACGCAACATCAGGATGAAGTATATAGTAAAGCCTTACGAGGGACACTGCTTCATCTATTGCTGGGCTTTGGAGTAACTCTACGAGTAAATTGTCAATCTTCTTCTCCGAGACTAAATAGAACACCATTGGACCAAAGTGTCTTGTAGATCTCAAAATATCGTAGCTATTCCATGCGTTTATGTGTCTATAAACTTCCTTTGTGATTCTATGATACTCTGGATCATCTGGATCAAACTGTAAGCACGCACGGTCCAAAATGAACACATACTCTTTTCGCTTTAGCAAGTCCTGTAACAACAGCAATCATTTCATTATAACATTCTCCCTGTACCTTGCGCATTGCACAATTGCTCAAGTTCTTACCTCTAAATATGGTTCATAAAACATCTGTGGTACAGTTAATTGCTTGCCGTTTACTGGAAAATACACCTGTGTTATTCTGTTCCTCTCAGCCATACGCGCGTGCCTTAATGTGCCAGTGGGCTCTCGAACAACTATTTTCCTGTCTCTGGTATTAATTCCATAACTTATATCCGTGAACACAAACTTCGCTGTATCGTAATCTTTTAAGCCAGGATCATCTACCAACACTCTGATTGTGTCCTTTGACTCTTTTACAACCGGAGGCATTTGCAAGCGTATATCTTCTAGCTTTTGAATTGCCTGAAGCCTCGACTGTTCGAGTTCTTCGTCAGTCATAAACTTGTACTCTCCAACGTTTAAACGTTGCCCAGTTTTGTGCACCCTACTGACTTTCGTGTAATCGATGCGAGTCAGTTTTTTCAATAGCTGCTGAACATTTTCGTTGAAAAAAAAGGGTGCCGGGTCATCCAATACTGTACAAAAAAATAGAGTGCTGGCATGAGGAAGTTTGCATTCAAACAAGTTAATATGTCACAAAACTGAAACGTCTCGTGACCATGTAAATACAATCTCTAACCTCGTCAGACACAGAAAAAGACTTCATTGCATTTACCTGATGCTTTAGACTGAGATGAACAAGAACGACAATTCCAAGCCGACTGTTTATAAAATCGTCTTAAAATCATACCCTTTCGACTGGACATCATCATCAAAGTTTACAATAACTTAACCTCAACCGCAGAAGAGACACGACGAAGCTTAACAGAGTGATAGAAATAAAATAGATTTGAAACGGAAAGCGGCTTAATTAAATTCTTCAAATGGCAGACTTAGAGCTGTAATTTAATCACATTTCTTTGGAATTGTTTAGCAGTAAATCCTGCTTCATAAATGCGGAAAAAGGTACTCCTGGGTACTCCGATAAGGATAGCAGCGAACAGAAAGGTTAGAAATGTATGTATGTACGAGACCAACTCCGGGTAGGGTTGAATTGATACCACCAAGGTATCGATACTTTTACTCATAACTACTTTGTATGAAGATATCGATACATACTCGGTATCGAAACAAAAGTATCGATACCTACTTGTATTGAATTATATTTTCTTAATCTTGATACCCAACACAAAAGTAGTTTCTGCGTTGAGAGAGAATAAAATACAATACTATACTTTATATATTTATTTAAATATTTAATATAAAACATATTAACATAAACGTATGTATAAACTATATACGATATACGTAATATAAGTATGAATGATGAATAAATATGTACATACATACATCTCACACACACGGGGTCTCTTACGCCTGCTCCGGGGGTTCTATGACCCCTCTTACCAAGCTACTACACAGGTCGATACTCACCATTCGATACGAGTACTTTTGCTCGATCCTACTTGGCATCGCAACTGTAGGTATCGATACCAAAAGTACTCGGTATCGAAACAAAAGTATCGAGTAATGTACTCGTATTTACTTGTATCGATTCATCCCTAACTCCGGGTTACGAAATTTCGAGAGAAAACGCCTCCTGTTAATGGGATCACAGAATACCGATGGAGGTCGTGAACAATTCATGTGAATAGTTGGAAAGAGAAAGACTACTTTCTCGCCATTTTCTAATAGACGCAATAATCATATGAAACTTAATTACGGATTATTCAGGAAGAATTTGTAAACGTTTACAATCTAGAAAATTCATTAAGACTCTTAGCCGTTTTCTATATAGATATTTACGTGCATAGTTGGCTGTAGTTACTTAGTACTTTCTCGGGAAAGTATTTGTAGGTTACGATTGCGTGATGAGTACGACAAAGAGAGTACTATAGTCAAAAGGACAAGAGAAATTATGCCACTAACTTTGCTTTTTTGCTTATGAAACCTTGGGAAATAAAGCAACTTCTTATTAGGAATATAGAATAGTGAAGGAGGTTGTAGATAAGTAATAAACAGTTTGCGCGGGAAAGAGCATTCTTTTCTCGTCTTTTGCGAATAGAAGCATACCATCTTATGCAAATAAATTAATTATGCATTAACTAGAGACTATATACAAAGGGGATTGATTTAGATGTATTACTAGGAATTTGTTGGTTTATTTTTGTAATTTACATGGGAGGTGCGCAGTGCACGCTTTTCATAGAAAATTCATTTTTCCGAGCAAAAACCGCGAGTCACAATTACTAAACCGCAAGGCAATGAGCAAGGCTGTTTAGTGATTCAAGTTCCAGGCTAGTAATTGACGTTTAATTCATTGGTATTATGATTCTCTTATAATACTAGTTCTTGTAGCAACACAATTCATTAAAAAATACTGTACTATTGTGCAAATAAAACAAAAATATTAAATTGTTTTAAGACAATACTTCTTAACATATACGCTATATGTTAAAATAGTTTATAAGAGCGTGTATAAAAAAAAAATAAATATAATACTGTATCAAATATTAAATAAAATCTATCTAATAAACAAAGACATTATACAATAACTAATCTTACGTTATTCTGTCTCTAGCTCCAATTTGTACTCTAAATTTCGCGACACCTGCAGGACATCTTCAGTCTCCTCTTCTTTCTGCCTTTTAACGGCTAGGTGCATGGCTCGTAAGAATCTAGTCAAAGTACACCGTTTTGTTCGTAGATAGAATGCGTGAGCTAAAAATGGAATTTTCCTTAAAACTCGTCCGCTCAAACCATGACTTTCCTGACTGAGATCCAACAACTTAAGGCTGTTCTTTGTGTTCGTGTTTTCCTCGTAGCCCAAATTTTTTAAATAAGGTAAATCGCAAATTTCCTCTGGTTCCATGAGGCCCGCCTAAATATATATATATATGTATGTATGTATGTATATTGCTACCACATACCTATATTATATGTTTAATGTATACAGGTAAAAACACAGACTGAAGATAAAGAAAACGATAGAAAAAAGGAAAATACCCTTATTAATTCTTTGAGGCATGATGCATAAATTTTATATATGGCTTGAATAGTAGGCTCTCCAATATACTGTTTTATATCAGCTCTATCGATGAACGCCAAATCGATAGCTTCGGACAGATTGCTGGTCGTCAAAATTAAAACGTTCGGATATTTTTTTATTTGATCCAATTGCGTTAGCAATGCGTTCACCACTCTTATGGAATCAGTCGGTTCTACCCCGTTACTGCACGATTTACGAGCATGTGCCAGAGATTCTATTTCATCGATCAGAATGCAGACTAATGCTTGTGAAGATTCAAGAAGGCTCCGTATCTCGTTAAATAGTTTCATGACTAGTTTCCCACTCTGAAAACAATCGGAAGTTAATCGTCGATTCTTTAGACTAATGTACATAGTAAACAGTTGTGATACAACCTCTGAAAACCACTTTGAGAATAGACTATGACTATTTATTTCAACAAATTCACTGTGAGTGAATCGATCTGCTAAACGAATAGCAACTTTTTGGGCAAGTGCTTTACACAGGCTGGTTTTACCAGTACCAGGAGGCCCATGCAGTAACACCACTTTGTTCCAATTTATAATGTTAGAATTCACACTGTGGTCCGAAAATATCATCGTAGTTTCTACAAAATGTAACAACTGAAAGGAAAAAGACAATGGGCATTGTAAAAATTAAAATGTCTGCAAAAAGTACAATTAGCTACAACTAACATCTTCCTTTATGTTTGAGTCAAAATAAAGATTCTCCCATAAAGAATGGAATTCTTTGGAAGGTAAGATCCAGTGAGAAGATGCTGGTAAATCTTCACTATTGTTTTGTATTGTTTCCGTTGCAGCATCCTCTTCAGTCAATCTGTATACGTGATACAATAAAGTAGAACCTTGTACTTTCACATGACTCCGCTGTAACAATTGAGTTTGTGTCATTGAAATCTCTCGAAGAAAGCCCATTTATTTAAGAAATTACCTCTCCATGACTTATAGAGCATATTATAGAATCCACATGAAGTCTCAAGGTTGGGTTCAAAAGATTATCCCCATAAATGGGAGTCTCCAGTGTGATATCCTTCCACTCACCTGTTTCCGCATAAACTAATTTTTGTATCTCCTTTTTTGACAACAGGCTGAAAATCAAACATTCTGGTAGAAAATGATCAGAAATTATCAAAAACGTTCTAAACGGTTTCGATCCACTGTATATAGATCGAAGTATGCACGTCGATAAAGAGCCGGTAATACCTATTGCTCTTTTGACAGATTTCCACGTGTATCACGTCTGGCCCTTCCATCTTATCTTTCTTCGGGAAACTTTAACGAGAACTTGAATCCTTAGGATGACGTTCAAGTACGACTCTTTTTTGGACTTCTGAATAAAATTCACTTCAAATGATACAAGTAGTGTTTGAAATTCAAACAGAGCAGGTGCTTCGAAAGTATCTAAAGAGTGAAAGAGAGAAGGTAGTACAAGAAAGACAAGAGACACCAACTAATAACACGGATGGGATATAAAGTAGACGTAACATCCAATGTAATTTTCTGTCACATGCCTCAGGGGCTCTGGAGCCCCGTTACCGTATATTAGCATCCGTGAAAATTTCAACGACAAACTTATGAAACCTTTATGAAGCTTTGATGACGGTACTGAAGATTTGCAAGTTATAGAAGAGCGAATTATTTGTGGCATATAAGTTACAATATGTTATAAGCCTGAATAATATCTAAGCATACTTT